GCTGCCCAGCCCCTGGCCATGGGCCTTAGAACTGGGCCTCTGAGAAAATCCAAGTGGTCAGCAGTTGTGCTGAGGAGCTCAAGGCCAATCGCCTGACTTCCCTAGACAGTGGGGAAAACCCATGCCGAGGACCGGCTCTGTCCATGTGTGGGTGGAATGCCCCCATGTGGCAGCCACATTGGACATCTCAAAACAGGCATACTCAAACCTAGCCAGGGGTTCGAGCAACGGGCCAAGTGACCACCTCACAACCAACTGCGGCCAGGCAGAGGGAAATTTCCTTTTCCAAAAACTTTGTTTCTTTTTGGTACTTGGCTTCTTGTAAACTCTGTTTGGGGAAGGGGAATTAGGTCAAAGTTTATTTCATGGCTGATGTTTGTCAGGCATCTAATGTGGGCTTGCAGACAGTTACTGGCCTAGAGCAGTAGCCCCTCCTTATTTTGGTTTTGTTTTGTGCTCTGAGACCTGGGTGGGGGTGGGGTGGGGAGGTGGGCAGTGGGCTGGTTGAGGGGTTTTAGGGATGAGTAAAGCATCACTACTTAGGGAAACCCAGTCTCTTGGATATGCAGGACTGATGGTCTGCAAATCCTCATCTCAAAAAGAATGTGAGGGGCAGCTGGTTAGCTCAGTTGGTTAGAGCATAGTGCTTATAACACCAAGCGTTGCAGGTTTGATCCCCACATGGGCCACTGAGATGCACCCTCCACAACTAGATTGAGACAACTACTTGACTTGGGGCTGATGGGTCCTGGAAAAGCACAGTTTTCCAATTAAAAACAAAACAAAACAATGAGGCCATGTTGCTCTTTTGGCCCCTTCCTTGGGCTCCAGTTGGAACCTGTGGCCTGGAGGGCTGCTGAGCCTTTTGCCGTTTAGATGAAATGTCCAGGAGAGTCCATTCCATAGAGACAAACAGTAGATGAGCACTTGCCAGGGGCTGGGAGAAGAGGGGAATGGGGAGTGACTGCTAATGTGTGTAGGGTTTCCTTTTGGGATGATGAGTAAGTTCTGGAGGACAGTGGGGACAGTTGTACAACTTTGTGAATATTCTAAAAGCCACTGAACTGTATAGTTTACAATGGTGAATTTTTTATGGTATGTGAATTACATCTCAGCATAAAAAAAAAAAAAGGGCTGAGCCTTTGACTCGCGTAGGGGCTGTTTCCCTGTGTCTGACCTCCACAGCCCTCCTGCTGCCTGGGTGTGCCCCAAGCCAGGAGTCAGGCATCAACTCCAGGGTAGGGGAGACCAGTTGAGTCAGTGGACTCATGCTGGGGCTCCCGGCCATCAGGGTCACGTCACCTGCCTCCAGGGTCTGAGGTCCAGGTGAGGGCTGTGTGAACAAGCCCCGGGGGAACAGGAGGTGAGGGCATGAGCAAGACTCGAGCAGAGGAAGGAAGTGCTGCTGACGCATGGCCAGCCTATCCAGGGGAGCTGTGCAGAGAGGCACCCACCCGGCCCTCCACAGCCCTCAGAGAGCAGCGCGACCTTGCTGGGGAGGGTTAGTGATGGTGGATCACTAGACCTGGTTGGAAGGAAGTCTGTTAGAAGGGAAGCTGGCACCAGGCTGGGCACCCAGATGAACCAGAACCAGCCTCTGCCTCAGGGAGCATTTAACTCGGTGGAGCAGACTCCATCCTGGCCAGAGGAGCACAGTCACAAAAGGCCTGGTTGGGGGTGTCCTGGGCAGAGTGGCCTTGGCCTGGGCTGTGGAAGCGGATCTGCTAAGCAGCTTCCGGAAGGTGCAGTTGTCCGACAGGTGAAGACGGAACTGGTAGGCACTTGGGCTCCCTCCAAACATCCCAAATCTTCCACTTCTCCACTTCAGTCACCACCCCCAAGCCCCGGCATCACCATCCTTCAGCCAGATGGCAGTAACAGCCTCGTCCAGGGTCCCTCTGCCCCTATCTTGGCCCGCATCCTAACCCCCAATCCAGGCTCCACGTAGCCGCCAAATGGGTCCTGTGAAAGCATAAATCAGATCCCATCTCTCTCCTGATTAAATCCTGCAATGGCTTCCCATTGCTCTTGGAGTAAAGTCCAAACCACTCACCACAGCCTGAGCGCCTGGGTGGTCAGCCCCTCCTTGTCAGCACCATACTCTTCCTCTCTAAATAGCAGCCACCTCAGCGTCATGATATGTTTTACAACCAACAAGAATCTTTCCTACCTCAGAACCTTTGCCTTTGTCCCCTCA